CCGGGTTTTGAGAGGGGCGAGGGAATTGAGAATATTGGAAAGTCCAGAGTTGTAGTGGGTGACAAGGTGGTCTGGAGAGGAAAGAGCAGGGATTGGGATATTGTCAATGTGGGAGGATAAAATGTCCGTGTTTATGTTCTTAATATTGCGGAAGGAAATCTGGCGGACAGGCTTGATTATGGAGAGAGACAGGGAGACATTGAAGGACAGAAGAAAGTGATCAGAAATATGGACATCATCAGCAGAACAGTAAGCAGGGATTAAACCAGAGCAGCAAATCAAATAAAGCGAATGTCCTTTTATGTGGGTGGGAAAATCAACGTACTGAAGAAATCCAGAACTGTCCAGGCAGGAGGTAAAGCAGGGGTGTCAAACTGGTTCCAGAAAGGGCCGTGTGGCTGCAGGGTTTCTTTCCAACCAAGCAATACCAAACCAGATTCCAGTCATCTCATCAAGTCATTATGTTCAGATTGGACTCACTTGATGAGATGACTGGATTCTGGTGTGTTATTGCTTGGTTGGAAAGAAAACCTGCAGCCACACGGCACTTTCTGGAACCAGTTTGACACCCCTGATGTAAAGTGTCTGGTGAGTGAAAGATTTACATTGTCCATATGAATATTGAAATCACCAAGGAGAATGACGTTAGGAGAGAGAGAAACTGGCAACAATTTCCACTTCTCGTGACAAAGTAATGCGAGACCTCCCCCGCGGCCGGAGCCACGAGGAAGAGAGTGGTAAACATGCCCAGGTGGAGTTGAGGTGTTGAGCTGGGAGAAGTCATTAGGTTGTTGCCAGGTCTCTGTGAGGCAGAGGAAGTCCAGCTTACGGTCATTGAGGAGATCGTGGATGAGCTGCCCCTTGTTTGTGAGAGAGCGGACATTCAGGAGACCAAAGTTGACGGTAGAGTTGATATGACTGGAGGCGGGGCTTGCTGCCTTAGCCAGGCTAGCAAGCGAACTGAAGTCAGCGGTCCGACTGGGATATCGGCTAGAGCGGCAAGAAGTTGACCAGAATGATGGTATTGGATTGGAGTCATCGATGTGGAAATTCTGACGAGATCCGCGGTGGATGTATCTCCGGCGGGGAAGGAACACGATCTTCGGGTGTAGCTGGAGAACTGGTGGTGGAGGCGCAGACAGAAGCCCACGGAGCAGGAGGAGATCAGCTGCCGAATACTGGGACAGACCTGCCCCAGGTCGATGTAGAGTGGAGAGGACAGTCCAGAGGAGGAGACACCAGATGTAAAGCTTGGAGGACATTGTTAACGGCAGCGGGTGGCTAACCAACAGCAGCAACGGCGAGTCAGAAGAACAGGTGGAGAGTGAGGTTAGTTAACCACACTCAGACACAAAACAACAGGATGGCTGAAGAAGTTAGGACGTTTTCGCTCTCACTTGAATGTGATAACACGGCCTAAAGTTCCGTAAAAACGTTGAAAATAACTTAAAACAGGTAGCGGAGAGCAGCGGCTGCAAAACGCACCAGCGTCCACTCAGCCGCGCAATAATGCAATAATGATACCGTAGCTCCATGTTTAACTTAATGCCATACTTATGAGAGAACAAGCTAACCGCAACTACATTACGCAGGACCGGAAACACAAAAGCTTACCAAAATAAAAGCACTTAGCTCAAACTGGAAGTTGTTGACATTGTGAAAGAAAAGTGTGTAGAAAACCAATGAAACGAAACTCAACTGTATTTGTTGCAAAAAGAAAAAGATTATGGTTATTTACAATCAGCAATTACCTAATGTTGTCTTTATTTATTTAGAAAACATTAAACTTAAACGTAAAACATGGAGAACCACCATATTATCTGCAATAGTTACAGTGAAGAACGTCATCATGCCAAATAGAACTCCACAAAATTTTCTTCAAAGGACTAAACAGAGGAAAAGCAGAAAACAACGCTGAAAGAGCTGGTTCTGTTCTTCAGGTACAAACAGAAACCTGTTCTCCATTTTTCTACTCGATTTTATTCACAAGAGGGAAGCCTTTTTGGAGGAACTCATCGATGTCAATCCAAGCAGTAGAAATACGAAATAAACGACTTCACAAGAGGAACAATTCTGTTAAAAAAGACAAAAATGTGACCACCAACGGAAGATGCCAGAAAACTTTGGAATTAGATTAACATTTTGATTAGTGATGAAACAGAGATCAAATCATTTTCCACATTTTGATTCAGTTTCAACATTTAAAAAACTAAAGAAAAAACTCCACATTCTACTCAAAATGGATGCAATAATCTGCAAGAGACGACTGATTTTGATTTATAAATGCTTACATCATGATTTCAAGAAACAAGTGCAACCGTCTTCCTTTACTTACAAATTATTCAGTTTATTTTCAGAAGAATTAGCTAAAAATAAAATAATGATCTGACAGAATCTGCTCTTGCTTAGTTTATCAATTTCAAAAAAAGATTAAAAAAAATTATGACTCGATCTAAATTGTAAGATTTGGACATTTGCTGCAATAATAAAACCTTAATTTACCAACAGAGGGAAAATAAAGGACAGTTTTACCTTAAAGTCTGTCAGAGAATCTGAAAAACCACAAAGTTATTGGAGGAAAAATGCAAAGAAATGAATGACCTAGACTACAAACACAGATTTGTAAATACTTGCGTGATTTTTCCAGCAGTAATCTTGGATTTCCAGCTCATGAGCAGATTCAAGTTGATGGGCTGTATCCTCCAAGGACCTGGTCTACCTGGACTGGATCCTTCCAATAAGGAGGCCGGAAGAGTTTTGGCTGTGAATTCAAACAGGTCCAGCCTTCGGCGGCTTTAACCGTGACTCACAAAGCAGGGAAATAATAAATACCAAACTTTTAAACACTGTTTCTTTTTAATTATTTTTTTTTTATTTAATTGAAAAGTGAAAAAAGAATACACTGATCATAATCCAGAGTGAATAAAGGTGACAACCACCAGAATTATGAACAAATAAAAGCAAATGTAGTCATATAAAATGGGTAGAAAGATATAAGTAAATCTAAACAATGTATGTATTAAAATATATTTACAAAATCTCTTATAGTCAACAACAAAAAATAGTTAGTTAGGGAAATTATGCAAAATGGAAATAAAAAAAATATCAGATTTATAGTCCCCACACTGCAGATATATTAGAATCTGTCCTTAACCTCTTAACATCCACCTCATTTTGGGTAATCCTCGCCTATTTTGCATACCCAAATGGAAAAGCTAATAACTTAGGAACTGTAAGCCCAAATAACATGTGCAATACATCATTTGAAAGCTAACACCCTCTAGTTTCTGTTTTATTTGAATTAAAATCGGGTTACTTGAACACAGACCAACCTGCATCATTTCAAACATGACTCGAAGTTGTTTTTTTATTCTCGAAACTATAGGTCTTTTTTTGACCAGCAGTAATAAAGAAATTCTTGAGAAAAAGCAGGTTTTATTGTATTAAATTTGTTCTACATCATGTCATCCACAAATGCAGAAAATTTCAGACCTCTAGCTATAACAGTTCCGGAGCTGTAGGGTTTGGAAATTTTGGTGTCAGCTTGGAGCTGCGCAATGGCTCCACCTGCTGGTAAAAATTTTACTGGTGAAATTTTATGCATTCTAAATTATTACCCCCACTTAAGGTCCACCGGGTCGCCGGAGACCTTGAGTGGGGGTAATCCCACTTAACCCGGTGGGTTTTAAGTGGTTAAAACACAGTCAAACCCATTTATACAGTAACAGATAAAAACCTTTAGATAAATCAAACATTACCGCCACATATCTGACTCAATAACCATTAAAAAAACGATTTTTCTCATTTCAGATAGAACTATTCACAGACTTAGATTATATTAAACTGAACTTCCAATATTTACCACTGTTTGGCGCCTAGTACTAGGTTTCCTCAGAGCACGGAGTAGCCGGATTGCTTGGTCTCGCAATGAATCATGGGATACCCAAGGCTACGGAGGATACACCGGACCAGTCTTTCAAAATAGGCAAAAATAAGGCTGCATCTGTCGGCCATATAGTCTTGGAATCCGACCAGACCTCAGCGCCGCGCCATGATGTAATCTATGGAAGTAAAACAGTCTCATTAAAATCTGCCTTTTTTTTGTACACCAAATTTTAAACACTGAATTTTTTTTTTACACATTGCTGCAAAAATATTCAGCTGCAAAAAAACATCAACTGCAAAAAATTCGACTGCAAATGTGTCAATCTACGCTCGATGCAGTCGAGCAACTTCTAGCCAATAAAATTAGCTAATTTGGTCAGTAATTAATTAACAGTTTGCCGCTGGGCACTTGTTTCGGATCAAACCAAGACCTTGGCAGACGGGGGTGCTGCACTAGCTGTGATCGGCCCAGTCCGATTAGATGAAAAACTCCAACGGCGATCTATTATTAGCTACCTGATGTTTTGTAATCATCTATTTAACAAGAAAAACTCCTCATTCAGCTTCATTCAGCCGGGAACAAAGCTATGCCCATATATTGTGTCACGTGACCAAATGAGTTAATTTCATTGGCTAGAAGCTGCTGGACTGCATCAATTGCTGATTGCTTTGGCTGGAGTTCACCAAAAGGTCAACACATTTGCAGTTGAATTTTTTGCATCAGAATTTTTTTGCAGTTAAATTTTTTACCATTGTAAGGAATTAAATGTGTAATTCAGTTTTTGAAAAATTCGGTGTACAAAAAAAGGCAGATTCCAATGAGATTGTTTTTCTTCCACAGTAATCGGCCTATAAATCTGGCCTCCAGAGGATGCAGCCCATGAATTTAAATTCAGGTATGCTGTCTCTTTCAGCTCTCTGTCGCCCCCTAGTGGAAGCTTAATTCTGCACCCTCATAAAAATGAGCCCATTTTGCTTCTTAATACAACAAAGTACAGTGAGACACTTTTATCCTTCTCTTGGTTTTATTCTCAAACATCTTTAGAAGGAAATGTAAAATAAAAAACTGGTCGTCTGAATAAAAAAAGAGAAAAAAAGAGGAAAAATGGCTGTTAGTGTGTTTTTGTGACATAGAGGTAAAAAACAAAAAAGCTGAGGTGAACAATTTAACCAGTTGATCCACTTTGACGATAAAAGCGGTGGAGGAAACCACAGAATGGCAGCTGAGCGGAATGTAGGCGTGTTCAGTGAACAGGTGCGGGAGTCCAGGAAGGACGGGAATGAGGTTAAAGTGCAACTGAAAGAGTCTGAGGTCTGGAGGTTAGAGAGGAGATAAGAAAAAACAACATCTGAGGGGAACAGAACCCCAGAGAAGTTCTTACACTGAACAGAAACGATTAAATTAAAACACACTTAACCTGAGTTTACATGTTAGAGCAGTAAAATATAATCAGACCTCTAATAGAAAGATCGGATCCAGATCTAATCGTCTTCATTCCTGATCCCACTTCCTCCTCTGATGACCAATTCCTCTCCTGACGCCAGCTTCATGTACAGCGCTCGCAGGTCGTCGGGCCGCGGCGCCTTCGACTCAGGCGTGGAGGGGATGTCAAAGTCAGACGACGCCTGAGACATGGGCAGATCCTCGGGTTCTGATTGGACAGCGTCTGTCTTGGTATTCGGCGTCTGTGGGTGGAGGATCAGGGTGTCGTCCAGGTTCTGCGAGGAATGATTGGACAGAGAGGTGGACAGGGTCAGGCTGAAGGTTTCCAGGTTCTCCGGTGTCCGGTCCTCGTCGCTGAACAGGTCGGGAGTCTGCGACCCGGTCCCTCTGGAGGGGGAGGTGGCCGCGGCAGAGCAGCAGGAATGGGATTGGCTGTTCTGGCTGTCGCTCAGCTGCTCTGCCGTGAAGAAATCCTCCCACTTTGGGGCGTCTTTGCCTCCTTCTGCCTTCCTCTGGTCTCCTTTTCCCTCCTCCTCTTCCTCCTCGTCATCATCTTCGCCGTTGGACTCGGTGCAGTCAAAGTAGTTCTGTGTGGCAGACGTCGTGTCTGAGACCAGGAGAGGTAAAGACATGGCCACCGGGGGCGCTGTTCTCTCAACTGCTGCTTCTAAGTCTAGAAAGACAAAAGCAGAACTTTAAGACACTCCTGAATAAAATCCTAAACTACACGGTTTCCTTCCAGCAGCAGAGCGAGAGCCACTATGGATGGTTCAGCTTAAAGCAGATTCATGTGTTGGAACGGCCTAGTCAAAGTCCAGACTAAAGTCCAACTTAGTTCTAGAGAAAGACCTAAAACCTGATGATTTTAGTCGCTCTAAGTCCAGTTAGTCGGAGCTTGAGGAACCAACGCCATAAAAAGTTGGTCCTACAACAGTGCTGCATCAGGAAGGCAGAATAAATGCCGGCCGCACTTTTTAGAGCATATTGAGTCAGAAAAAAGCTGAAAACACTTAAAGCCATGAATCGTCCCCCTTCAACAACTTCCTATCGTAAGAAACTCCTAATTATATCCAATTTAGCCAGAAGCTCAATAATTATGGAAAAAACATGTTTTCCAGAACTCCTAAAAGTAACAGCTGCACATTTAAAGAAGTTTAACATCGAACGTACACAAATGATTGCTTCTATACTAAATTTTTATTTGATTTTTATTTGAAGCTTCTTTTTGCTTTTTGAAGTGTCATGAAGTGACCCCAAATATCAGTCCAGGGGGACACTTCCTTTCATCTCTACTATAAGTATTTTTGAAAGGTCAAATAAAAGTGAAAAAAAAAAAAGAGTAAATAAAAAAAGAAAAAATATATATTTGACGTAAAATTAAATAAGGGAAAAAAAACAAAGATAAAAGAGAAGAAAGTACCAGTTTGTAGTTCCTGGTTTAGGCTCATCTTCTTCCTGACTGGAGCCAGATCCAAACCTTCAAACAGGTCATCATCGCTGCCAGAATCTGAACAGAAACATGAACGCCGTGAATATCAAACCAGCAAACAGACGAAACGGATGAAAGGAACAGCAGCTAAACGTATTCCTCTCCTCAGTTTGGTTTCCAGAACAGTGATCCATTTATCTGTAGATGTGAGGCTGAGGTACAATAAAATAAAAACCATTTAGGATCTTCACCCTGCTCCTCATGAGAGGAAATGTTCAAGAAAAACCTAATCAAAGGCCTACTGTGAGAAACCAGTGGCACCAGTTATAGCAGCAGAGAAAAAGGCACAGCTTCAACATAAATGGTTCCTACAGCAATAAATTCAAGACTTTTAAGACTTTTTAATTCAATTCAATTAAAAAAAATACTTTATTAATCCCAAAGAGAAATTAAATGTTGCAGTAAGTCGTATGTTTTTTCTTTAAACAGGTGTTATAGGTTCTGATAGCTGCAGGCAGGAAGGATCTTCTGCAGCTGTCTGTGTTGCACCGGATCTAGAGAGGCCTCTGATTGAAGATACTTTAAAAATCTTCTGAAATATGATGATAGTAAAACCACAAAAAGTTAAGCCAAACTTCACAGTAAACAAAAGAAAAACCTGGTTAGACAAATTTACCCAAATGTTTATTTGAGCATAAACCTTTACCTTCAGTAGAAATGTTTCAATTTTTAAAAACTTTCTTGCCAAAGTGAACTAAATGGGAGACGATCGAGAATGACACCATTGTTGTCTCAGAGTGGGACTAAGCAAACTACCAGAAATAAGCCACAAAGCTTCTGGTAGAATGTCCTTCAGACAAACTCATCATTATTCTATAATTGTTTTCAATATTGAGTCTTTGGGTTCATTTTCTCAACTGAGTAAAATTCCCTTTCATGTTTAGCCGAACACAAATCAAATGATTGGAATGGCTGGACTAGTTTCCCAGAGACCAGGTTTGGACGCCGGTGCTGATGAGTTTAATACCGTAAGTCGGCGGCTGAACTCGGCTCCGTTTCAGGACTCCCAGAGGCTTATAAACAGGCGCTGCTCCATCAGGCTGGTTCCTGCACATCAGCCTCAACCTGAACAGACATAAGCAACAGTTTCTGTTATTAACATTTAACCAAAGGAGTCTGCAGAGAGACGGATCCTGCAGGTGTTCCCTCCTCCCGTCCCATTATCTTCTAAGATTTGTTTATACTGCCTTAAAACCTCAAGCTTCTCTAGATTAAAAAAAAAAAATGTTTTAGGACCTAAAACTTCGATGGAGTAATACGACCAGGCAAGAG